TGGTAGTCATTTTGTAAGTGTGAGGGATAGCCTGACCTTTTGAGCTAGCTTTGGGGTTGAGAAGGCCCAAGAGCACCCAACACTCTTGAGGTACTTAATTTTCCTGCTCGTCTGGTTCTCCACCGCCGCTTTCTACAATCTGAAGTTGGCAAAGGCTTTAAACTTGTGCTTCATGAAATACACAAAAAATTTTCTATGGAAGTCATCAATGAAAAGAATGAAATACTAAGATCCACCTTTAGACAACTCCCTCATTGGTCCCTAAACACCAGAGTGTACATAATCAAGAATGCTCTCTGTCTTTTACTTTCCTTTCTTGAAATGTATTCTGGATTGTCTCCTAAGTACTCAAAATTTGTAGAAATCTAACTTCCATGATTTTACTCTCAACAAATTTCTCTTATGAAGCTCAATCATACCAAGTTCTCTTATATGTCCCAGTCACATATGCCAGAAGAGAGTATCATATGATTTAGATTTTGTAGCAACTCCACCTATGTATTCCCCCACAGTTTGTAAATATTCCCTAATAATGTTTTACTTTTCGTCACAATCATAGCCCCTTTCTTCACTATTAAGACCCCACGCCTTGACTTACAAGAATAGCCACTGGAGTCTAAAGTGCTTAAAAAAATTAGGTTCTTTCTCAACTCTGGCACATGCCCAACATCCTCTAAAATTTTCATCACACCATCGAACATTTGAAATTTTATGGACCTCATTCCAATGTGCTTACATGATGCATCATTACCCATCAGAATGGATCCAAAATTACCCAAACGATATGAATCAAACCAATCCCGATGGGATGCTAAATCAAGTACCCAGAAGTCATGTAATCTGTCAGAATTACCTACAGACACCGATGTCTACATCTCTTGAATTTGAATCTTCTTTTGCAAATTAGTCGAGTTTAAGGATCCATCACCTTTCTTTTCATCACCCTACTTCTTATCCGATGGCACTTGTATCACTCGACTTTTTCTCATTTTGATTTATCTCTTTTTCTTCTCTACTATTTCGTATAAAATCCAACAACATGTATCAGAGTAGCAATATATAGTTTGCAAGACACCACAACAGAATGGTTAGTGAAGAGGATGAGAAAAGAACAATTGTAGAACAGGTAATATGTTTGAGGCTGAATGCGGGGCTTTCGAAGGTTTTTGGGCGTAAACGGTTAACATGGCATGTTATGTCATAAATAGATCGCCACGAGCAACACTAGATGGGGAAGTCATAAAGGAAGTTTGGACAGGTAATTAAATTGATTATTCTAGATTAAGTGTTTTTAGGTATCCGTCTTATGTGCATGTATCTAGTGATCAGAGATCCAAACTTGATCCGTAATTTTGGGCTATGTGAAAGGAGTAAAAGGGTACAAATTTTGGACAGGTAATTAAGTTGATTATTCTGGATTGAGAGTTTTTAGGTATCCGGCTTACGCGTATCTAGTGATTAGAGATCCAAACTTGATCCGTAATTTTGGGCTATGTGAAAGGAGTAAAATGGTACAAATTTTGGGATCCAGAGGTAAAGAAGACTGTGATCGATGCAATCTTTAATGAAGCATTCATTCTTCAAGTTTTTCTAGATGAAGAGAAACTCAGTT